TTCTAATTTTCGTGATGTCAGGCAGACATCCTTATCTCAGTAATGTGTTTGATACCCCAGGGGATAAAGCTTTCTAAGTATTTTCATGTTCATGGCTAATGGACTTGTAGATATTGCAGCCGTGAGTGTCCTTCCTGTCTCTCCCCAGACTTCGCACTTCCTTTGCAGTTATGAAAAATGAAAAAAGCCCTACAAGAGGAACTGTACTTAAAAGGAATATTTCTGATTATTCATGTAACATAATATTTTTTCCCCTCAATTTCCTTTCTTTTTATACCTGCATTTTGATAGTAATATAATAAAAAGGGGGAAATAATGCTGAAAACTAATTTCCCAATTATATGGTCTGTTTCCTATGTCTTTAATTTGAAATACTTTCTTTTGAGTAAGCATTTGTTTTTTTCAGCCTTTTTTATTTTTACTGTCTTGTTTTAATCCTCAGTCTATGTATACCTTCAATTTTATTATAATCTTATTCATTAGTTGGATGCCAGGCCCTTTACAGGGGGCTGATGACACAGCGATGAGTTAGGCAGAAGCAGACGTGCCCTCGTAAATGCGTTCCAGTGGAGAAGGCATCACTTAAAGAGGTGTTGGCGAGTACTCACAGACTCCTTTCTCCTTGGAGATTTGGCTCTCTAGCTCATTGCTTTTCTTCCTCCTACTACCACTGTCATTATTCTTGCTAACTTCATCATTCACATAGATGATCCATCCAACATCCCATACTCTTATTTCCTTGACTTTATCACTCCCAGTGATCTTTGTTTTTCCACCTAATCTCAACCACCCTTTATCTTAGTAAAATACCACCTCTAAATATGGTTTACAGACTTCCTTTCCTGAGCATTATCTATCTTTCCTACTTAATATTCCCACTTTAAAAATTCTATAACCCTTTTAGAACTGCTAATCTGTTGACTCTACCACTTTTTAATGTTACTGCCTTCTCACCCCCACCATGCCTTTGCTTCTCTCCTTATGGACCTTAGACACACAGTCCTTTGTTCTCTTGCATAAACCATCATTTCTTTTCATATAAACTCTGCCCTTGGTTAAACTTCCCACCTCCTTTGCATTTGCACCTCAGCACAGCATACATCTAGGAGGAAGCATGTAGCCACACTTACCAGTAGTCCCTGAATGACCACAGTTGACTACCAAGCTCTTATCACGTACCTTAACAGATCTCAGACCTTCTCAGTGCACTTCTTTACTTTCTGAAAGTGATTTCATATCTTTTCTTCTCACACCTCCAGTTCTGCATTTTTAGCTGATTTTATTGCTGCTTCTATCACTGAGAATGCCAAGGTAGTAGAACTGCTATACCTCACTTCCTAATCACCAGGTCTAACACTCTACCTGAACCTGTTCCCTTTGATTCTGGTTTTGATCTTCTTAAAGTGATACATATTCCCTGCAACTATGTAAGGTCAATCTTTTATGTAGTAGGACACATCCTCTGTTACCTACTCAAGGGTTTTTTTGGTTCACTTGTTTGTTTTCCTGCATCTATGCCCTCTGCATCATCAATTCCTTGCCCTTTCCTTGGTCATGAACATCAGCATACAAACATGTAAACCCCCCCCCCC